GCTGTGCTGGGCAGGTCTTAGTTGTGGCATACAGGATCTTAAGTTACGGCATGTGAACTCTTAGTTGCAGCTTGTGGGATTTAGTTCCCTGACCAGGGATCGAACCGGGGCCCCCTGCCTTGGGAACGTGGAGTCCTAGCTGCTGGACCACCGGGGAAGTCCCTAGTCAGCAAGTTTTTGAGCAGACATGTTTTCATTTATCTTGGGTAAATATATAGGAGTGCAGTTGTCAGATTGTACAGTTAGGGTATGCTCAATTTCATAGGAAACTAACCAACTGTCTTCCAGAGTGGCTGTACCACTTGGCATTCCCAGCAGCAGTGAATGGGAGTTCCAGTTTCTCTGAATCCTTGTCATCAGCACTTGGTATCCTTGTCAGTTTTTGTTTGCTTAGCATCCTAGTAGGTGTGAAGGGATAGTTCGTGGTTTTAATTTGCATTTCCCTAAGGAGGGATGATGTTTCCTATGCTGATGTGCCATCTGTGTATCTTCTTTGGTGAACTGTCCATACTTCTGCTCATTTTTTCATTGTCTTCTTCTTTTTAAATTTTCATTTATCTATTTTTGGCTCCACTGAGTTTTCATTGCCGCACAAGGGCTCTTTCTAGTTGCAGTGCACGGGCTTCTCATTGCAGTGGCTTCTCTTGTGGAGCACAGACGGGCTCTAGGCGCCTGGGCTTGGTAGCTGTAGCGTGTGGGCTTAGTTGCTCTGCGGTTTGTGGCATCTTCCTGGATCAGGGTTCGAACCTGTGTACCCTGCATTGGCAGGCAGAGTCTTAACCACTGCACCACCGGGGAAGTCCAAGTTGTCTGTCTTCTTATTATCGAATCTTCAGAGTTCGTTATGTATTCTGGGTACCAGTCTTCTGTCAGAAATTTTCTCCCAGTCTGGGGCTTGTCCTTTTATTCTCTTGACAGTGTCTTTTGCAGAACAGTGTTCAGTGTTTTTAAAATGTTTTCTGAAGTTTGTTTTCAAAAGATGTTTGAGTTTTCAACTATTAAAAATTTCTGGTTTCTTTCCTAAAATTGGAACCCAGGGCCCCCAGCCCCACTCTGCTTTTTGTGTTGGCTGCCTGGCCCCTGGAAAAATTTGCTCTAATGAGAGAAATGTGCTCTGATGGGGGTCGTCAACAGAGGGCAGCAGTTAACATTTTGATCTGAGACTTGGGCTGGAATTCTGACTGCACTATGACCTTACTGTGTAACCTGGAACCAATCATCCCTCTGAACCTTAGTTTCTTCATGTGTAAAATGGAGGCAGTGAAGTACCCTCCACACCCCCATCCCAGGGCTGGCCCAGGAAAAAGAGTCCATTTATAGAAGCTGGTATTGCTGTCCTTCCTGGTCTAGAAGATTTCAGATTTTTTTTTTTTTTTTTTGACCAGGCTACATGGCATGTGGGATCTTAGTTCCCTGACCAGGGATGGAACCTGGGCCCCCTGCGGTGGAAATGCAGGGTCCTTACCACTGGACCGCAAGAGAATTCCCTCAGATTTATTTCTTAGCAGAGGAAACATTCAAATAAAATCTTAGACCGACATTCAATAGTAGGACCAGAAAGTGCGGGGAGGATTCTGTTTCCTCTCTCCCCACCCGGTGGTACTCACCAGAGCACAGCCTGAAATCTGCTGACCAGTCTAACACCCTCATTTTAACAGAGCCACAGACCAGAGAGGGCAGTGACCTTCTCGAGGTCACATAGCATGCCACAGGCACGCAGCTCCCCACGCTCACCCTCAGACCTTCATATCAACTGCCTAGCTGAGCTCCCTCCCCAGGGATACTGATAGAGTTACAGATGGGGGGCTGATAGATTTACAGCTGCCAGTGTTTCTTGAGCTCCATGCTAGGCACCATCCTGAGCGTGTTGCCTGTGTTAACGCCGGTTACCTGGATGACCTGAGTCAGGCGGTGGTTGCCCCCACACTGCAGAAGAGGAAACTGAAATTCGGTCTTTCCCCCAAGTTGTACACTTGGGAAGCGGCCCGGCCAGCTTTTCCCTGCCTCATCCAGAGGCTCTGTCTTGGCCAGTGCCAGCAGAATGGAGTCCTGCTGTATCCTCTGTGTAGTTGTGTCTCTGTTATCTGTCTGTATCTCCACTCCAGTGACACCAATTTCCTTGCTGGTTCCCCAACAAAAACCAGATTCTGCCACAGGGCCTTTTTACTTACTGTTCCCTCACCCTGGAGTGCTTTCTCCCACCTCCTGACCCATGGCCTGCTCCTTCTCATCCTTCAGGCCCTGCTCCGATACCACCTCTTCAGAGAGACCTGCCTCCACCACAGCAGCTGAAAATCACCTTTCCAGCCACCCACCTAGTTTTAATTCCCTGGATGGCACCATCCAGCTCATACATTCATTCATTCATTCATTCATAGATTGATTCATACCGTAAACATTTATTGGGCATCCAGGCCATGTTCTTAGCCAGAGATTCAGCAGTGAACAAAGCAGGCAAAAAATCCTTGCTCTGCAGAGTTCTAGAAGGAAGGCAAACAGCAGAGAAGTAAAACATAGAATGTGTCGGGTAAGTAGTATTTATTTTAAGGAAGGGAACTATGAAATATAAGGGCAGGGATGACATTTCAGATGGGTTGGTTGGGGGAGGCCTTCCTGAAGAGGCGACATTTGAGAGGAGGCCTGAAGGAGGTGAAGGGAGAGCCACTGGAGATCTGGGCCAGGGAGACAGCCTGTGCAAAGGCCCTGAGGCAGGAATGTTTCTGGAATATTTAGGGAACAGCCAGATAGCAATTATGGCTGCAGCAGAGTCCATGAAAGGCAGAGTGGGTATGGGGGTGGGGCCTTGTGGGCCACAGCGAGGACTTTGGCTTTGGCTCTGAGTGACCTGGGAGCCATGGAAGGTTCTAAACAGAAGAGGGATGTGACCCAACTCAGGTATTCACAGGCTCCCTCTGGCTGCTGAGGGAAGCAGACAGGGGTATAGACAGAAGCTCGGGGCCAGAGCAAAGACAAATGTCCTGGCCCAGGCAGGTGATGATGGGGAGGCTGGCCAAGGAAGGGGTATGAAGCAGACAGATTACCCTTGAATAGATTTGATTGCTTTGAGGTGCAAAGGAAAGAACAGAGCAAGGAGGACCCCACAACTTCTGGGGGTGTGCAGTGCGGCTCAGTTAGCCTGTTTCTAGACCAGCCCTCCCGGTGTCATGTCTGTGAAGGACACAGATCACAGTCTGTCTTGGTCACGGCTGTGTCCCTTAGCTCTGGCAGCAGGACCAGGCATACAGAGGTGGTCTCTCTCATTTCCTGTCTCTCATCTTTTCTGAGGTGTCTGTCTCTCTTGTCAGGAATTTCCTGGGTCCCCTCATTCCTCCCGCCCTCCCCCCCTCAATGTCATCTCAGCCCCCTGACCCCTCTTCCCGCCCACCCCTTGCAGCTTGGAGGCGGAGAATGGACCGACACCGTCGCCAGGCCGCAGCCCGCTGGACTCGCAGGCGAGCCCGGGCCTCGTGCTGCATGCCGGGGCGGCCACCAGCCAGCGCCGGGAGTCCTTCCTCTACCGCTCGGACAGCGACTATGACATGTCACCCAAGACCATGTCTCGGAACTCGTCGGTCACCAGCGAGGCGTGAGCACCCGCCACCCCCCGCCTGGCTGGCTCTTCCAGGCCTCCTGGCCCCAGCAAGGGGGGGCGGGGGCTGCCCAACCCCCACCCCAGCCCATGGTCCTCGGCAAAAACTAAACAGCACCCTTATTCCCTATCGAGGACTCAACCCCTTATAGCATACCCACCCAGTGAGGTATGAGTGCCCACCCCGTCTCTGCCCCGCCACCCGGCCACTCTGAGCCCAGGCCCAGCCCCACCCATGTCCCTACAGTGCCCACCCACCCAACCTGCCCATGCCCACTCCTACCCCTTGGTTTCCTTATCCCATCTCTCCAGCAAGAAGGGAACCCCACTTGAGCCCCTCCTGGCCACCACTTCCAGAGGGTCCACCTCGGCTGACCCTCTTCTTCCTCCCCATGTCTGGGCTTCCCTAAACCAGCCCCCCTTATCATGACCACCTATTGAGGTGTGTGGAGAAGGAAATGGCAACCCACTCCAGTATTCTTGCCTGGGAAATCCCATGGACAGAGGAGCCCAGTGGGTTACAGTCCATGGGGTCGCAAAGAGTCGGACACGACTGAAGCCACTAAACAACAGCATAGAGGTGTGAGCACCCCCATCTCCTCAGCCCTCTTCCTTCTCACTGAACCCTCCACCCCTGTCCCTATCCAGTGAGGCGTCCATGTCACCCCTTTCCCCCAGCTCCTGTCCTCCGCCCCTCCCCACTACTAGTTTCTCTGAGCTCAGCCTCTGAGGTGTGTTCACTGCCCTCCTTTTGTCTCTGCGTGCCCCTCCCTCCTTGCCCCACCTGAACCCTTCTCCCTGACTGTTTCCTTCAGAACCAGCCCCTGCAGCGTGACCATCCTTGTGAGGTATAAGCACCCCTCCCCTACCCCACAGAGCTCCTTCCTGTCCACCAGCCTCCTGGGGCCCAGGCCCCCCACAGAGTGACACCCTAGGGACTTGCTTTTCTGGTAGCCCCAGCCCCTGTCCACCCCAGACCCTTGGGTCCCCCACTATGAGGACCCCTGACCTGCCCCTGTCCTTGCAGGCATGCAGAGGACCTCATCGTCACGCCGTTTGCCCAGGTAAGACCCCCTCCCCTAAGAAGGGACGGGGCTCTGACTCTCCCTCACATGTGGGGACAGGGGCCCAGCCCCAGCTCCCCGCTCTGGGTGGACCCCTCTCCTCACCCTGGCTCCCCCACCCAGGTGCTGGCCAGTCTCCGGAGCGTTCGCAGCAACTTCTCCCTCCTGACCAATGTGCCCATTCCCAGCAACAAGTAAGTGGAGGCTGGGCCCCAGGGTCTGTGATCATGAGGCTCAACACACCTGGGTCCAACTCTCACAGCTGCTGTGTGACCTCAGGCAGGCACTTGACCTCTATGAGCCTATGTTTAGGCAACAGCTGCCACTGAGCCAGTAAACCATTGTGATTCAAATTCTTAAGTCGGGGAAACTTTTATAAACAAAGATGGAGGGGTATGGACGCTCAAGGCTGAGGTCATGAGTGGTCAGCCATCCCAGCCTCTGGGCCACTCCTGGCCGTGATGCCAGCTTGCCAGGCAGTTAGCCTCCTGTGTTGCCTCTGTCAACTGGATAACCGCTGTAAGAAGTTGAGAAGGTGATGTATAGAAAGTGCTAGAATATTGCCCAGCACATAGTAAGTGCTCACTGAATAGAAGTAGTTCTTATTTGGAGGCATGGGTGAGGCTGAGAGCTGCTGGTTCCTCTGGGAGCCCAGGGGCGGGGCAGAGTTATCCTGGGGTTCAAGGAACTTGGGGAAGGGATGGTCAGGGAAGCAGGGAAGCAGGAGACACGGGGTCTGACCTAACCAGCCAGATAGTCTTAGGGAAGCTGGCTCCACCTTTGTGAACCTCAGTTTCCTCATCTGTAAAATGGGTTTTTGTGGGGCTCTGTGAGAGGCAGTGGGCAGAGTAAATGCAGCATGCCCGGGACACACAGAGAGGGCTCATAAAGAGGAAAGTCTGTGCTCTTCATGGAGAGAGGGAGGCAGAGACGCAGGGAGGGCCAGGCTGAGGTTGGGGCCCGATTTTTTGCAGGCGGTCCCCACTGGGCGGCCCAACCCCCGTCTGCAAGGCCACGCTATCAGGTAACTAAGCCCGGGGCACGAGAAAGGCCCCTCGTGGTGCCCTAGTGCGGGCTCCCTCACCCCCTTTCCCAGCACCCTACTCACCTGACGGGCCCCCATCACCTCTGGGGGTCTCCATGCGAACCCTCGCAGTCACCGCCCCGGCTGCCCCTTCCCCAGAGGAGACGTGTCAGCAGTTGGCCCGGGAGACACTGGAGGAGCTGGACTGGTGTCTGGAGCAGCTGGAAACCATGCAGACCTACCGCTCCGTCAGCGAGATGGCTTCCCACAAGGTGTGTAGGAGCAGCGGGGTGGAGCCATTGGCTGGGAGGGCGGGGGGCTAGCTATGGGCATGGCCAACCTGGGCGTGGTCGACCTGGGATTAGAGCCTGTGGGGTGGGGTCAGACCCTGGGTGTCAGTTATCTGACTTTGTATCTCCTGTGGACCTGGGTGTGTATGTGTGTGTGTGTGTCAGTGGTGTGTGTGTGTGTGTGTGTGTGTGTGTGTGTGGTGTGTGTTATCTGACTTGGTATCTCCTGTAGACCTGGGTGTGTGTGTGTGTGGTGTGTGTGTTATCTGACTTTGTATCTCCTGTAGACCTGGGGTGTGTGTGTGTGTGTGTGTGTGTGTGTGTGGTGTGTGTTATCTGACTTGGTATCTCCTGTAGACCTGGGGGGGGGTGTGGTGTGTGTGTTATCTGACTTTGTATCTCCTATAGACCTGGGTGTGTGTGTGTGTGTGTGTGTGTGTGTCCCTAGGCGACCTTCTCTCCTGGGGGGAGCAGGTTGTATGTTTGTATGGTCTATGAGTGTGTATCTGTGGCTATATGACTGTCTGTTGGCTACCCGATTGCAGTGCTGGGCAGGAAGGAGGGGAGGGGAGTGGGGGGTATCCCAATAAGATCAGTCAGGAGTGGCATGCACAAGTGTATCTATGGAGGACGTAAGAGTATGCACAGCTGACAATGTGGGGCTGTTAGTGTGGGGGGCTGTGCCAGGGGGATGTGTATTCTAGAGGTGTGAGTTAGTCCAGATGTGAATCTGAGTGTGTATCTCCATGTGTCTGTGACTCTGTGTGTGTGTATGTGTGCTTGCAAGGCCACAGGAGTGGGTGCAAGGCATCCATGTACAGTTGTGCTGACTGTGCACTGCACAACTCCAGGGGGCGCCATTCAGAAAGCAGGCAATGTGAATGATGCCGCCTGGAGTGGTACAGCTTGGTGGGAGGATGCCTGTCAGGAAATGAATGTGCAGGTGGGGGCGTCTGTGTTGGGGGGTGCACACACCCGTGGGTGGAGGTTTGTCTGGGACCATGTGAGTCTGAGGGCAATTGTGTCCCTGAGGGTATGTGTGGAGCATCTGAGAATGTGACTGTGTGTCTGAATGTAGGTCTGCGGGTGTATTTCTGCGATGGGGTGTGTGCGTGTGGAGCCGTGGGTGTGAGTGTGCGTATTCCCTTATAGATTAGTCAGGCCACATTTGTGTCTGAGGCCATGCGGGTATTTATGTTTGTTTACAAGTGTGTCTGTGGGTGTGTTGAGTGTGTCTGCAAGTGTGTCCAGTATCTGGGTGTTTATCCCTTAGTGTGCGCCTGCACTTCTGCTTGTGAGTCCGTATCCTGGGAAGGGGTGTCTGGAGGCATTTGGACCTCTGTGTGCCCAATTTTATACCTAGAAATGTGTTGAACAACAGAGTTGTGACTGTGTGTGTGTGTTTGTGTGGTTAGCGTAGGACTGAAAGCATTTGGGTGTCAGAGTGTGGTCAGGTGTGCCAAGTGTCTGGCTGTAGTGGTGTGGGGTGGAATTTGTGTCTGATTGTGTGTCGGTGTGTGAAGCATGTGGGTGTGTGTGTCTGCTGCTGGGTGTGTCCACAGGGGAGGGGGCATGCCCTCTGCCAGGTGCGTGTGCCTCCCCGCCTGTCCCTGGCAACCTCACCTGGGTCCTGCCTGAGGCCCGTGGGCTCCGGTGCCCCTTTAACGCCCCCCCCACCCCCAGCACCACCTGACATCGCATGCAGCCTGCCAGTGCTGCAGTGAGCACGCACACGCACACATACGGGCGAACACACGGAGCCCAGAGCCTCCGAAGCCTCCTCCCGGGACCCTCGCCCTGAACCTAGCCCCCATGGGCAGGGGTCCCTGGCCACCTCCAGCCACTGCTGCTGCCACAGGGGGGCCCAGCGGGGCCCACGGCAGGCGGACCATGTAACCAGGGCTGCTGCCGGGAGCGCGGAGGGGAAGGGAGCCCCCCAGCCCTGCTGGGCCGGCCTGGGCCCCTCCGCGGCTCCCCCCTCCACTGCCCAGCACCCCGCCCCCCTGCCACAATAGCTGCTAACCCCGGGACTCCCCAAGCCCAGCCTCTGTGTGCGGCAGCCCTGAGCGGGGCCAAGACTCCACGATGCCCTTGGTGGATTTCTTCTGCGAGACCTGCTCCAAGCCGTGGCTGGTGGGCTGGTGGGACCAGGTAGGGGAACTCAGGGTGGAGGATGGGCAAGAGACCCAGCTCTGGCCCTCCCACCTCGCACCCTCCAGCCCCCGGTCTGGGCTTGTGTGTGCATCTGTGCACGTGTGTGGCCTGGAGATGAAGCCTGGTGACTGTGTCTCTGTGTGTGGCCCGGGGCTGGGCGTGGAAGGTGGGTGGCTGGGGGTGTGGGTCTCTCTCTGGGTGTGACCGTCAGTGCGCATGTGTGTATGTGTCTGGAGTGGTGGGGGGCTGCCTGAGGCCCGTGGGCTCGTGTGCCTGGGTCATGGACCGGGGAATGGCCCTGGCCGAGATCACATGGTTCTGATTGTGGTGGTGTGTTTTGGGCCGTGTTTATGAGCCCAGAGCTGCATGATTTTTCTGGGGCATGTGACCCCGAGTTCAGTGACTGCTTTATTGTGTGTGCTCCTTGATGTGTGTGTTTGGGGGCTGTGTAGCACTGTGTAAGTGGGAGGTCTGTGACTCTGTGTGCGGTTGTGTGACTTTGTGGGTCCATCTTGTGTGTGGATGTGTGTCTCTCTATGGGTGCCCAGGGCCTCTGGCAGCCCTGGGAGGAGTGAGTGCCCCTCCCGATGTGGGCCGAGCGGGCTCACCCTTCCTGCCAAGAGTCCCTCCTGCCTCTCTGGACAGTCGGCTCCAGCTCAGGGGTGCTTTGGTGGAGCTTGGGGGTGGGGAGCCGATGCCCTTTCTCCTCATGCACAATGTCACAGCGGCCACTTGTGTGAAGAGAGATGGGGAGACCCAGAGGAGCCCCCAGGCCTGGTTCTAGGCATATTCTGTCCGTCTGTGCATCTGTCCAACCCTCTGAGGTTGGGGGAGAGGGGGCTATGATGGGAACCCCCCCTCCCCTGGTGACAGAACTAGGGTTTCCTCTGCTCACCCTTCTCCCTGCCCCGGCCAAACATCTTCACCCAGAATTTCAGGACTGCATTCCTTCCTTCCAAACCAGGCTGAGGGCTAGGGGGCGCCAGGACCCTGGGGTGTGGGGTCCCTGTCTGGGAAGACCTGGGCCAGGGGTAGCTCTGGGAAGGCAGGGGTTAAGGGGCCCACGGCCTGCCCCCTTTTCCCCAGCTCAGCAGCTGGTTGGAGGGGGAGTTGCTAAGGAGACTCCCATCACCATGGTGACGGGATTCTCCTGACACCCCATTGGCTCCCTGTTAAGCAGGAGCCCCTCCCTTCCACAGGTGCCCCTCTGGCTCCTCCTTGGGGGCAGAAAGAGGGAGTATGGTGAGAGGAAACCCCCTTCCTCAGAGAGGGAGGGATACACTCCCCAAGCCTGGGGACCCCCATTGAGAGTTGGGAGGAGAGGAAGGACTGACCCCTCCCCCTCACAGCTTGCTGAGGGCTGTGTTGGCTGAGCAGAGAAGTGAGAGGGGCTTATGGGTTCTTAAGGGGTTTCTTGGGAAGGCCTGACCTTATCCCCCCAAACCCCTGCCATAACCCTATCATGCCTTCCTTCTTGCCTCCTTCACCTTAGTTCAAGAGGATGCTAAACCGTGAACTCACACACCTGTCAGAGATGAGCAGGTCAGGAAACCAGGTCTCTGAGTACATCTCCACCACATTCCTGGGTGAGTGAAGGGCAGCACTGTGTGTATGTGTGTGGGGGGATGCATAACTGGACTGTTGGGGGGCACGCCAGACCCTGGGTCTTGTTGCACACATTTGTCCAAGGGACCCTGACTCACCTCCCCAAAGGTCAAAGTCACCACGCTCAAAAGTTCCTACACTCTGATACCCTCCAATTTAGTGAGACCCCAACTCCTGTAGAACCCCTACATTTAAAGCTGAAAAGTCCCTCCAAACTCAGTGGGACCCCATTGGAACTCTCAAACTCAAGGACCCCAAGAAACCCCCAAACTCAAATAGAACTCAAAGTCTCCCAAAATTCAGTAGAATCTCCAACCTTGAATTTCCTTGCCCCAAACTCGGAAGACCCCTCAAACTCAAGAGAGATGCCTGGACTCAGTGGGATTCTCAAATTTAAGGGAATTCCTGCCCTTAAAAGCCCATTAAGACCCCCAAAGTTTTTAAAAACCTCCAAGCTGAAATCTCCCCAATTCAGTAGAATGCTCAAACTTGGTACAATCCCCACAAATTCAGTAGACCCCCAAACTTTAGATACCCAAATTCAATAGGATTCTCTGGCTTAACTTAAACCTATACAGTGATTCCCCAAACTCTGGAGAATTGCTTAACTCAGAAACTTAAAGGTAGAATACCCCAAATTCACTGGAACCCTTCAGCCTACAAGGACCTCCAAGGTCAGCCCCCCCCCCCCCAATCCTGAAGCCAAGAGCCTTTACTGAGACTATCCCTGAAAAAGTCAGGGTAACTTCACCTTCAGAATTGATCACCAAAGTTCCCCAAATTCAGGCTACCTGTCCCCCCCAACCAAGCTGGAAAGAAGGTTTCAGAGTTTCAAACATTCCCGCCAGTGAGGGTGTGAAGTGCCTGAATGCCAAAGACCCAGCCAATAAGAGCACAGCATGCAAATGAGCCCTCTTAGGCCATGTCATTGACTGGTGGGACCCAGGTCACAATGGGTGGCCCTGGCTGGACTCTGGAAGGCCTAAAGAGCTCAGGAAAAGAGACTTCTGGGGCTGGCCCCCAGGCAGGCTGATGTCCAGAGGGTAGGGGTGGGCCCATGGAGCCAGAGACCACCCTTCCTTCCCACCTCCCAACGCTGTCCACCCCCACCAGCCCTCTGGGTCACCACGGGGCTCTCTTCCCAGCCCGAGAAGGGTCCTTGCCTATCCGAGGCAGGCAGAGGCCCTCTCTAGCACCCCCACCCTGCCTCCTGACTTCCCATGCCACCCCCTCGCCAAACTTGGTGATTGGACTGGGACTACCCCACAGCTCTCGTCTGGCCCTGGGGTCCCCACTCCAGCCCACCACCTCCCAGAAGAATTCCTGCCTCCGCTCTGGTTTCCAGTCTATAAGCAACCAACAGCATGACACCAGGACTAGATCTGCCCTCCTGGGTGAGAATTTTTAGGGCTTGAGGGGTAAGGCAGGCAAGGTCTGAGAGCCAGATGAGGGAGCTTCTGTGGGGTAATCATGCTTGCCTCTCCTCTATCTTCCGCAGACAAGCGGAATGAAGTGGAGATCCCATCACCCACAATCAAAGATCGGGAAAAACAGCAAGCGCCACGGCAGAGACCTTGCCAGCAGCCCCCAGCCCCTGGGCCACAGCTCCAGCCCATGTCTCAGATCACTGGGGTGAAGAAGCTGACGCACAGCAGCAGCCTCAGTGATTCCAGCATCCCCCGCTTTGGGGTGAAGACTGATCAAGAAGAGCTCCTGGCCCAAGTGGGTGGGGCCTCAGCGGGGGCGGGGCGGGGTTCTGGGGGCGGGGGCAGGGAAGGACTGGGCTTTGGGTCAGACTGAGATAAGGATTCTGGTATACCTGCCTTTTGAGACTCTCAGGAGAGAAGTGAAGGAAGCAGTATGCGCTGTGTGCCTGTCCATGGGATTCTCCAGGCAAGAATACTGGAGTGGGTTGCCATGCCCTCCTCCAGGGGATCTTTCTCACCCAGGGATCAAATCCGAATCTCCTGCATTGATAAGCGGGCTCTTTACCACTAGTGCTACCTGAGAAGTCCAGGAAGCAGTATAGGAAGGAGCTAATGAGCAAAGAGGTGGGTGGTCTCAGCTGGAATCAACGAGACTCTGGGGTATGAACAGCACCACTGAGTTGAACCACCTTGAGGCAAGCCTGCTGGCCTATTTTTTTTTAATTAATTAGTTAATTTTTGGCTGCACTGAGTCTTCATTGCTGTGCACTGGCTTTCTCTAGTTGCAGCGAGTGGGGGCTACTCTTTGTTGCGGTGCGTGGGCTTCTCATGGCAGTGGCTTCTCTTGTTGCAGAGCACAGGCTCTAGGCACACGGGCTTCAGTAGTTGTGACACGGGGGCTCAGCAGTTGTGGCACATGGGTTCAGTGGTTGCAGCTCTCGGACTCCAGAGCACCATCTCCACAGCTGTGGCTCACAGGCTTAGTTGCTCTGTGGCAGATGAGATCTTCCCAAACCAGGGGTCGAGCCAGGGTTGGTAGCAGACTCTTATCCACTGTACCACCAGGAAAGTCTTCTGCTGGCTGCACTGGCCTTTTGTCATAGACTGGAGGCTATCCCCAGGGTGAATGCCCTCACCCCTTCTACATAGCTATAGCAGAGAAACAGCAATTTTGTGGAGGGTGTTTTTTGTTTTTTGTTTTTTTTTTGGCCACACCACACAGCATGTGGGATCTTTGTGTCACCCCCAGAGCAGGTTGCTGAGAAAGGACAGCTGTGAGAATGTGTGACAGCTACAGCAGCTGGGGGTGGACACGCTTACCAGTGGAAGGAATCTGCACAGAATCCATCAGCATCCACTACAGACCAAACCCAGATTTGCCTCCTGGCTTTTCCATGAAATCTTAGGCCAAAGGACTCCCACACTGACTTGTACAATGGACTTGACACACAGCTCAGCGGCTCCCTCAGCTGGCTTTTCTTGTAACCCTCCGTGTGCTATATGCAGTTACCCAGTGTTTATTAAGCACTTACTGTGTACTGGCACTTTTTAGGGGGCCATGCAGTAGGGCATGAGGGATCTTCATTCCCTGACCAAGGATCGAACCCACGCTCCTTGCAGTGGAAGTGCAGAATCCACTGGACGACCAGGGAGGTCCCTGGCACTGCTCTGAATTCTGGGAAGACATGAAAAACTAGCCCATGTTCCTTTCCTCCCGGTGCCCAAGAGCAGTTTAACTGAGGCTGAACCGTGCTTTTGGGTCAGTCACTGGGTTCACATCCCAGCCTTGCCGCTTGTGAGATGTAAGGTCTTGGGTAAGTCTTATCACTGCTTGGAGTTTGGGTTCCTTCACCTGCCATGTGAAATCAAGCGCTTCGTGCAATGCTGGGTAGCTCATAGGCACTCAGTAGACACTGGGGTTGCTTTGTTATTTTGTGGCCCAGTAGGACCTGAGTGGTAAATTCTATACTGCTGAGCACACCTACCCACTGGTTGAGTGATAATGGTCCCACTATTCAGACCAGGGTTCTGAACACCTGGCTCAGATGGTAAAGCATCTGCCTACAACACAGGAAACCAGGTTCAATCCCTGGGTGGGAAAGATCCCTGGAGAAGGGAAGGGCTACTCACTCCAGTATGCTTGCCTGGAGAATTCCATGGATAGAGGAGCCTGGCTGGCTACATACAGTCCATGGGGTCGCAAAGAGTTGGCCACGACAGAGTAACTAACACCTCTGAACTCCTAGAAAAGAGTCTAGAGGGTCCTGGCCTCAAGGGGCTCCTGACCTGTGGCCTCCGTCTCCACCAGGAACTGGAAAACCTGAACAAGTGGGGCCTGAACATCTTTCGTGTGTCAGATTACGCTGGGGGCCGCTCCCTCAGCTGCATCATGTACACGATATTCCAGGTAGGGTGAGATTCTTGGCAGGGTGGGCTGAGTGGGGCCAGCTGTGAGGGAGGGGGAGGGGTGAGGAGCTGAGGGCCAGGGAGGGTCACCGTCCCCCAACATCTGCCCGCAGGAGCGGGACCTGCTGAAGAAGTTCCGCATCCCAGTGGACACTATGGTGACATACATGCTGACCCTAGAGGACCACTACCACCCGGATGTGGCTTACCACAACAGCCTGCACGCGGCCGACGTGCTGCAGTCCACCCATGTGCTGCTGGCCACACCGGCGTTGGATGTGAGCACCACCTGGGCACCCCGTCTCTCCAGCCTACCCTCCCCCACTGCCCATCTTAAATCTCCTGTTTCTGTCTCTGACCTTGGGTCCCTGACCTTCATCTCTCTTTGACTCTGTTCCTCTCTCTCCTGACCCCCCATCTTTCTTGACTCTCCCATTTCTCTTTCACCCTGTCTCTGACTGCCCCTTTCTAACCCCTGCCTTTCTCTGACCCCCTTGCTCCGCCCCCAGGCCGTGTTCACGGACCTGGAGATTCTCGCTGCCCTCTTCGCGGCCGCCATCCACGACGTGGACCACCCTGGAGTTTCCAATCAGTTCCTCATCAACACCAGTGAGT